ATGTACATAATTTGTTGTGTGTTGTATGTTGTATCCATGTCTGTATATATATATATATATATATATATATGTTTGTATGTATCTATGTATGCATGTACGTATACATATTATATATATATTTGTGTGTGTGCGTGTATGTATGTATATATGTATGTACATATACATGTATATTTATCTATGTGTGTATCTATGTATGTATGTGTGCGTGTATGTTTGTGTGAGTTTTGTGTTGTTTCTGCGTTTTTGTGTTTTTTGTGCTCGTTTTAAGCCGGGTCGCGCGTCTGGGCACTTTAACAATCAAGTCTTCCGTTGGCCCTCCCTGTCGGGTCGTTGCAGGCGTGTGAGTCCTTCTATTACTTGTTACCGATCAGATTACGCAGTGTGTTGTGTGTTGTGTGTAGTATCACACGACCTATGGCTCTAACAATGTGAATAATCATCCGACTGTGAGTAAGCAGGTCTAGTCAACAATAGTCCTGAATATCAACAAAAAATTTGTTCAGTGGCTGGGTACACCTCATAAGTATCTCCTATCCCTTGTAAATGAACAGATTCGAAGAAATTGTCCAGGGGCCGGTCGACAAGTGCACTGTCAGGCATGGGCGCCCAATCGAGCTCGCTTTCAGACCTTTTCTTAGGTATGTGTCGCAGTCAAAGTTTGATAGCTTCTAGGCAAACAACTGCCAATTCTTTCAGTACTGTTCTAATGATGGTGTTATGTGCCCGTTTTGAACTAGCAAAGCTTGAGGCTAAATTAAATACCTTAGTCGCTTATGTAAATATCTTACCTTTCTGTATACTCAGAGATGCTGGGGCGACCCGTGAAGCATGATACCGAAACCTGGTATGACAAACTCAACAAGAAGGCGGGTGGCCAGAATGGGGCCCAAAATGGGTCTCAATTGAACCTAAGTGTTATGGCCTGGGACAGCGTACACGTACTCCCAGGACAGGCAGTGGCACCCAATGAACATTGCAAGGTACATCTGCTCACTCTTGATTCACAAAGTGGTTAGGATTGTGTGCGGTATTCAATTCTATATCATGTTTGTACATCTACGGACATTTGTTAACAATGGTGAAGCTCTATCTTGAACAGCGCTCGTTTGAAGGATAGGCGAATACCAGGCTCTCTGTTCTACTTCGTTGCTTGCAGAGGTTCGCTGTTGCTATGAACAAATGAGGTTCATATCACATCTTTCTCTTCGCAATACTAGCCCACGCTTCTTCTCAATTTCGCAACCTAACACGCACCGTCCCCAACGATAACACCACCGGACAGAACAAATATACACACTTGAATGCCAAATCCCAAGAACCCTAAACCCTAAACCCCACACCCAATGATGTACACCTTAGGTTGTGACCGTGAAAGGAGATGCAGGCGCCGAGACAAGGGAGGAGCGGTCCATTCAGATTGTGCTCCGCCCCACTGACGTAGCGGAGACATGGTCCAGATTTGAATACGACAGGACACCCGGACAACCCCCGCAGTTCACAATGGAGGATCTGCAGCAGATGCGCAATGAGGTGGGTGGGCTCTTTCTGTGGTACTTGGGGTTTTAGATTCTTGAGTCTTCATTGGGTACTTGGATATTTGATGTTGGCTCATTTTTGAGTACTTATATATTAGGTAATTCATTCTTTTTTGGTTACTATAGGATGTTAACCTTGTCTCGGGTACTTGGATATTTGATGTTGACCCTTTTTTGGGGGGTACTTGGATATTAGGTAACCATTCGTATTTGGATACTATTAGATGTTAACCTTGTCTCCGGTATTTGGGTATTAGATTTTGGCTCTTTTTCGGAAAACTCGAATATTAGAGGTTTGTTGTTTTTCGGATACTTGGGTATGAGATCTTGGCTCCACTTCGGGTACGCAGGTATTGGAGCGGTTTGTGTGTTTGCTTTCTGGTCCACGCGTCGTTGATTGCTTCATCTGTCCTATATATTGTGAAACTACTGAATGATGCGTCATTTGTTTCGACCCAATGACGTTTAAGTGACGTGTCAAAACAGTAGCGCATTGCAGTGTGCTGGCTCATCTCGAGTGTTATTGGATTCTGAGCATTTTCTCGCTGATTCTATTCGGCTTTAATACGTCTGTGCGTGCGGCGTATGTGTTTTATGTTGTGTGTACTTTTGCATTGTGCTTTACGTAGCACGTCCCAAATGACTTCGAGGCATATAACCCTTTCGCACGTTTATCTGTATTATTTGCAGTAGCATTCCTACACATACATTCGATTTCTTCGTTCGGGGGCCTGATTGTATCTGCCGCTCGCAACTCCTGCCTCTCACTCTTCTACTTCCGCCCGCACGTCGACACAGATGATCAGCTACAAGATCACTGAAATGGATGTCCATCCCGAAAGCAGGCAGAATACACACATCTACAGACCAGAAATATCACGATAGTGCTGGTCTTTCTAATGGGACCGATTCGACCTCATGGACACCTTGCATAGGCTCGTCTCCTCAGAGCTCACTTGTGCCGGAGACATGGCCAAGCACTGACATAACTACCGACTGGTGCGACCGAACACCACATATAAGCAACCGATAAGACCGCTCCCAATCAGCCCACGACATGATGAATCAGCTTGATGGGAGAGGCGTCCGAAGGATCATCCATTGGGCTGAAGAGCGGATAAAACTAAGTGTAAAATAGGCTTTTCAAGCGGTTCGAGTTGGAGATCCCATGTGTATCGGTGACACGTGTATGTATGCCTGACTCTCGCTTAGCGGCCGGTTGGTTATATAGCGTCGCGGTCACGCATGCTTCGTGTAGGTATTATATGCACACATGGGCAGGACACCTCATTCCACAGCACAGTCGTATATAGAGCATACGGGCGATGTAGGATTGTCTGCCGGACTACAAATGGGCCAAGGAATGTAAGCTTAATAGTGCGGCCCAGTATAACTCTGCCACCCAACAAATAAAATGGAAAAAGTGCACCAAATTGTACTAGGTCAGCAGACATAGTGCACTCGCTATCATATTGCCGAATCCAGATCGCTGACGCTCTCAGTATTTCATATGCCATGCGCCCGTGTGGCAGCTGATAGACTCTCAGTCCAGGTCAACTGAAGGATGTTATGCAAGAATACAATCAACAATCGTCCCTCTCGATTCCGTCTTTGTGCTTTGTATACACGCACCGTCACCGTCATTTCATATCCTGACTGCTTGTAAACCCTAAACCCTGCATCCTGATACACAGTGCGGCCAACGGAATTGTACGGCAAATTCATTGAGGGTAGCGCATAGACTGTACATTTCCTGCTGCGTCAAAAATCCCCACTCCCAGAGTGCATGAGTTGTATAATATCAAGTGTCGGGGGGCATTGACATGCATTCCTGACCCGGAGTGCATGAGTTGTATAATATCAAGCGTCGGGGAACATTGACATGCATTCCTGTCCCAGAGTGCATGAGTTGTATAATATCAAGCGTCGGGGAACATTGACATGCAATTCCTGTCCCAGAGTGCATGAGTTGTATAATATCAAGCGTCGGGGAACATTGACATGCATTCCCGGTCAAACCAACAGCATTAATAATGGTCTAATAAATATACGTACGTCACTACGTTCCGCACGCGAATGGGATACTCATTACTTGAGAAGAGTAAGAGTGTGTCGCAAGCAGTATGAGCTCCCATACCACCGACAGGCAGGATGGGCCCCGGGTGCGGCAGAGTGCCGCTTTGCACCTGAACTTGGCATTTCGGACTTCAGTTTGTCCTGTCCTGGGAGAGCATTGTTGTTTGGGGTCAACGAGGCACACTTACTATGTACCTGACACAGAAAATGGGCCTTGCAACGCTATTCACATTCAGAGAGAACGGCACCGTAACTTACGCCACCGTCTCTTGTATCTATCGGCAAGACACAACACGGCTCCACTCCAACTCGCGAGAAAAGACCACTGCCGAATTATAGGATTGATCTTAAAACTACTCAGCGTTAATAATATGGTCTCTGCAGTCTAGATTCTTATCACTGAAAGCGTAGCTGTACGACCCTATTCCTTCTATCAAGGTTCTGCTCCTACACGTATGGAAACTGGCAGGCCAATTTTACATCAACTAGGACACTCACAACGTCCAAATTATGAGAAAACTGGGGCGAATAAAACCCTAAATTCCACTACTTATCGCTCGCCGTCGAGTGCCGCTGCGAGTTCAAACGTGTGAGTTCAAAGCACCTCCTCAATTATCGCGCTTTCAGTCTTTCGCGGCAACCGCGGCAATTTTATTTGTATTTACCTCGTAAATACTCTAGAGCAGCCTGCTGGCACAAACCCTTCTAGTGTAAGACAGGCACGACGTTGTTTAGGCGTCTGCGGAGATCGGTAGCCAGTTCGGCTGGTGCAGGTCAGCTGATACCACATAGCTACTTTAACCTCCTTCCCTCGCCTTGGAAAGGCTTAAATTTGGGCTGCAGATACGGAGAATATAACGGTATATAAGTAAGTGATAGTTTGTAACTGTGTACAAAGCCATAGTCAGTGACAGAGCAGCCGCGCACACCAACTACACATCTTTAAACCACGAGCAGATTGAAAATGTGTTGTGTGGCAGTTACAGTGTATAGTCCCCCCCAAGAAACACAACTCTTAGAATTCTGACAGGCCCCTTGGTAGATCATTCTAGCGATGGCTCGTTTGGCAACAAAGGGATTTAAGAGCCGAACTCCTACAACTACAAGTGCGATGGCTCGTTTGGCAACAAAGGGATTTGAGAGCCGAACTCCTACAACTACAAGATATACATTATGCAGCTACGGAATACGTACTCCATTCTATAGCTGTGGAACAGGTGAGATGCTCCACCCCCTACAGCACATGATCCAAATCATCACAATCTACCTACCTCTTCCGGTACGGCTTCTTCCGCTTTCTCTTTGCCCTTCGACGGTAAAGCCGCAGCCTTGAACTTGGGGTGACTGACTACAAACTCCAGCCGCCCAGGGATATACACCAACTCATTGTCCTCGTCGTCTGTATCCGATTCAGTCTCTGCTAACGAAATATATAGTGAATGTGTAAGTGTCGCGAAAAACATTCTTTCAGATACGTCACAGGTTTACCTATGCACACGGATTGCTCAAAAATCGAATGCAAGGTATCGTGAGATTTCCGTCGGATATCAA